TGGGGGCAGGCAGGGCACTGTGCCAGGCCCCTCAGGGTTCCAGGCATGAGAGGCTGCCTGCAGGTGTCTGCAGTGGGCCCCCCCCCCATTCCCCAGGTCTCAGTGACAGTCCTTGGGCTCCCTGAATTTTGGCCCTTGGAAGTAGAACCCTACTCGGTGAAGTTAGGCCTGCGGGTCTCCGCTCCTCCATCCATCTGTCCATACCCTCACCGGCCCATGGCTGCGTCTCTGACAGACTAGGACCCCATCAGACATGAGGATGGGCCGGAGAGAGAGGGAACGTCCTCAAGTGCTGGCCCCGCTAGGTCCGAACTCATTGAAAGCTCCACAAATCCCCTTTGCCAGGTGGCCTCCCGATATTGACGGGTTTTGTTGCCACCTCGAACCACAGCTTTGTTTCCTGGTCGGCCTCGCCGGTCGACAGGTGTGGGTTCCTACATCTGACACACCTGGGTGACATGGGCCCCACCTGGCCAAGCGCTCACGGATCGGCAGCCGGTCTGTTGGTCCCTTCAGCTTCTCTGTCAGACACAGGCTGTCCCGTCAGGGCACAGAGACCCACAGTAAATAATTCGAGGAGAGAAGGCGGGACCCAACGGTGTGCGAGGTGGGCAGGGCGGCCCTGGCAGCTTCCCCCGGACAGACCTGAGCCCCCGGTTTTCTCCATCCAATGTGCCTTGGATGGAGGCACAGGCCGCAGCCCCTCCCTGTCCCGTGCCCCGGGGACGCCTGCCCTGCACAGAGGCTGGACTCTGCCCACGCCATCACCCCCACCAAGGCGACCCTCGGGTTCCCCTCGCTCAGACACACCAGCCCGCTTTCTGACGTCCAGCATTTGAGTGAAGTCCAACGCCCATTGGATGAACTCAATGGCATTTTAAAAACCTGTTCCCTGGAGGAGCTAACGTTTTATCTGGAATTTTCGTGTGAACACACAGAGCCTGTATTTCTCCAACTTGCACCACCCTGAACACTGGTTTTAGGACCAAGCTCCCGCTGGCCTTGTGGCCTTGCTGGCCGTTTTCCTGTAAAGTGTTCGGACGAATCCTATTAAATAAGTTGACAGTGTCTTCAAAGTCGGCACAACCGCCTGCACCGGTGTCGTCCCGGGCTTTCCTGGGGTGGGGTACAGAGGAGTGGGCTTTGATTACTGTTTGCATTTACTGAAGTTCTTGGTTTCCTCAAGTGTCTTCTTCCTGCCTACACCAATCCTGGCATTTTGTATTTTCCCCCAAACACAGCCGTTTTCCTGTTATTAAAGTGACTGGTACACGGTTGTCCCTAATATTCCTTTTTTTAAAGATTATACTCTATTGTGTCTGTAGTTAATTTTTCTTCCTATATTTTTGTCTTGCTTTATGTTTAAAAAATAATCTTGCTAGAGATTTTTTATTATTAGCCTTTGAAGAAATTTTGATTTTGTTCAATTTTTATTTTTTATGGAGTATAAAGTTTATACACCAAATATACATGTGTACATACATTTCTATTCCTGTGACTATAATATAGGAATATAAACAAAATATAGCCTGTCTTGAAGCCCATTCAGTATGTCCTGGCTGGTGTAGCTCAGTGGGCTAAGCACTGGCCTGCAAACCAAGGGGTTGCTGGTTCGATTCCCAGTCACGGCACAGACCTGGGTTGTAAGTCGGGTCCCCATTAGAGGCAACCACGTGGTGATTCCCCTTTTTCTCCCTCATCCTCTCTAAAAATAAAATCTGCAAAACATTTTATCTTATTTGCTTTTAGGGAGGGGAAGGGAGAGACGTCAGTGTGTGGCTGCCTCTCGTGCATCCCTTACTGGGGACCTGGCCCACAACCCAGGTAGGTGCCCTGACTGGGAATCGAACCCATGACCCCTTAGTTCATAGGGCAGCGCTCAACCCACTGAGCCACCCCAGCCAGGGCTGCTTGTGGGTTTTTGCTTAACCTCTTGGCCTCAGCACTTTGGAACCGCCAACTGTTCATTTCTACGTGTTACCCTGCTGTTGCCGTTGAATTTGGAGCCTGTAGCTGTGTATGTACCTGTCTACACAGTCCCTAACGATGCTTTGGAGCTTGAAATATCAAAACTCCCGCCCTGGCGGTTTTGGGGTTCACTTGGTGTGCGTGGCTCTGCACCCTGCCTTTTACTGTGAATGATGATAAACGATGTTGACTGCAGCTCAGGGATCCAGTTCCGTCACTTGTAACCATTTACATCAGGATTTGCCCACCTGCTTCCTACTCCCCCCCCACCGCTGTTTACTTTTGAATCTATTTAGAACAGGTGCGGCGAGTAGGCAACCTGTTCGAGCCCAGGTCCCAGTCCCCGTGCTCTCAAGAGTGGGACTTGGGAGGCTTGTTCCTCCCCAGCTCTCTCTGCAAATGCCGCTTCCTTACTCGTCCTCCTTCCCAGTCTTCCCGCGCAGACGGCTCCTCCTGGTGGTTTGATAGTTAAACATCCGGCCGGCTCCTGGCTGCAGCACGACCTACCCGCTCTCAGCGTCTCGCTCCTGCCAGCGGGAGCGAGCCGGGCACGCAGCCCTCTCGGGTGGGGCTGTCTGGAGTTTCTGTGGTTGGTTAACTTGGACGCTTGGTTCTCTGAATCCCTAGGTTGTTCGGAGGCTGCCCCCACCCCGCTTCTTCCCCTTCTCACCGGGAGACCCGGGGCCGATCTCCATGTGGGCACTGCCAAGGGCAGCCCAGGCTTTGCTGTTTGGCGACGGTTTAGCACAAGGGTGTCCCACTCATTGTCACCAGGGGCCACGTCAGCCTCGCAGTTGCCTTCAACGGGCCGAATGTGACTTTAGGACTGTGTACTCAAAGTACACAGTGAAACTGCTCCTTAACTAGGGGCAAGGAGCTCCTCACGGCCACCTGGGAAAAACAACGTGCCGGGCTGGATAAAACCAGGCGGAGGGCCGAATCTGGCCCGTGGGCCTTATGTTTGCCACCTGTGCTTTAGCGGGAGTTTAGGAGTGGAACTGCTCCTTAACTAGGGGCAAGGAGCGCCTCACTGCCACCTGGGAAAAACAACGTGCCAGGCTGGATAAACAGGAGCGTGGGCTTGTTTGCCACTGTGTGGGGTAACTAGGGGAAGGAGTGCCGGAAAAAGTGCTGGAAGGGGGGGGTGCCCGTGGGCCTTATGTTTGCCACCTGTGCTTTAGCGGGAGTAAATGCAAGTTCGCACCCCAGCTGGTGTGGCTCAGTGGATTGAGCCGCCGGCCTGCGAACCAAAGGGTTGCCTGCCGGATCCCTGGTCAGGGCACATGCCTGGGTTGTGGGCCAGGTCCCCAGTAGGGGGCGTGAGAGGCAACCACACACTGATGTTTCCCTCTCTTTCTCCCTCCCTTTCCCCCCTAAAAATAAATAAAATCTTTTTTTTAAATTCGCTTCAAGCGTTTTTCTTAAACACTTTGAGAACAGCACCCCCGTGTCTCTCTGCTCGGAGCGTCCCTGACCGAGTCTGACCCCTGTTCTTTCTCTCCGGTGCTGCTGGTGTCCTCAGGAGCGTGGCTTTTGCACTTGAGTTTTTCTGCACGCGGAGCCCTTTCGGTCTCAGACCCCGCCAGTGGTCTCCTCCCAGGCAGACGGACGCCCGCCCTCCTTGAGCCCTTCCGAAGCGCTCGCTCACCCTCAGCCTCCCCGCTGCCTGCTAGGAGCGTGTCCTGGGGCCAGGAGGCCCACGGACCAGCTGAGTCTGCCCCCAGCTCCGACTCGGCCTCGCCTGTAACCGCCTGCTCTCCTCCCGGAGGCTCCTGGAAGTTGACCCGACTCCCTGGAGTCTGAGCACGAGGCTCCTGTCTTCAGCCTCCTCCTCTATCCCCGATTCCTTTCTTGTCTGTTGAACGGGCAGGGCTTCCTAGGACCCTCCGTACTTTGCCCCTCGAGGTCCTTCCCCCTCTGGGTAGCTGTCGGAAGGGAGGGGTTGGGGCTACAGCTCAGACCCCAGGTGTCTGGTATGATCATCTGGGTCCACCCCTCTGTACTGGCTGTGAGCCCCTTTGATGTTCTCTGCCCCCCACTGTTTCTGGCCTGAGGTCAGGAGGGACAGCCCCCAACCCGCTGAGTCGGGCACCTCTCAGCCCGCAGTCTCTGGGGCCAGCTGCTGCCGGGGTCCCGGGTACCTCAGCTGTGCAATGGTCTAGTAGGCCCCCCTGCCTCCACTGCAGCGGCCCCTGCTGTCCCTCGAGAGCTCTGGGGAGCAGGGTGTCCCCAGCTCCACTCCCATTGCCAGGGAGGAGCAGGAGCCCAGCGGGCCCGGGACTGGTCAGGCTGCCCCAGTCAGGGGAGGCTCCTGGCCGAGGACCGTCAAACCCGTGCACCTGGGAGGCACCACGAAAAGCACACACACAGGCCTTGAGCAGCGGCTGCTCCTTTAACTCACTGGGTTTCACAAAGTACCAGAGCCCACTGCCCCGAGGCCCCTCAGGGCCCCGCAGTCCCCAGTCTGGGCTTCCTGGGGCAGGCAGGAGACAGGCAGCTTTCCAGCGCCCAGGGGTGCAAAGGGCGTGTTCGGCTGCCCATAAATACCATCCTATAAATACGGCCGGTGGCACTTCCAGGTAACAGGCGGGCTGCACCAGTCCCAAGGCCTAGCACCAAAGAGCCTGCTCAGGGCGCAGGGGCCCCACGGCTGCACCTGCACCCCAGCGGCCAGCAGTCTGAGCCAGCTGGTCGGGGAGAGGAGCAGGCCCCCCCACACAGGTTGCCTGTCCACTCTCCTGGGCTCCGGGCTGGGGCAGCTTCACCAGGCAGAGCCTCCCCCCGGAGGCCGGGCGATCCCTGCAGGTCCTGGCAGGTGGAGAGGCTGCATGGCTGTCCACGGCCCTGGGAAGCCAGGGTGGGCCGCAGTCCTGGCCCGTGGTGGCCCACCTCGGAAGTCACCAAAGCCCCCGGGTCCCCTCGGTGCGGCCCCCGGGAGGGGCACCTCGCTGCATCTGAGCTAGCGGTCCTCTGAACTGCTGTGGAGCGTGGGCGCTGGTCTAGGAGGGGCTGTGTGTGTGGTCACTGCGAGGACAAGAGGCCGAGGGTCAGCCCCAGGCGAGGGCAGGGGCACCTCACACTCCCCCCACCTCGGCTCGCCAGCTCCAGCCGCCCCTCCCAGCCTCCCCTGGGCCGTTCTCTGAGGGTCAGATGCCACATGGTGCCTGATCCTCTCCTCCTCCTCTGACCTTAGTCTGCTGCTGATGACGTACCAGTGATGACGTACCAGTGAGGCCGACCAATGCCCCTGGCCCCCTTACCTGGACTCAGGGCTGGGAACGGGACCCCAGGGAGCTGGGGTGGCCCACCTGAACGCAGACAGATGGCAGTCATCTCAGTGCCCCACTCCTGGGGGGACCCCAGTGATGGGAAACCCAGGCCTGCAAGGATCCCCTCCTATGCAGGTGGTGGGGCCTCTCCCCTCCCCAGATGAGCGCTCCCAGCCCTGCCTTGTCCGGATTTTGGGTGGATGGGGGGCTTCACTACAGGTACCCAGCTGGGTCCACTGCAAAGCACGGGCCGCACCCACTGCCGCCTCCCTGAGGTCAAGGCTGCTGCAGGCTGGAGGGCCTGTGGTGCAGTGCCACACCTGACCACCAGGTGCCGCCATGGCCACCACTACATCCTGAGCAGGGTTGGCCCCACCTTCCTGGCCCCGCCCAAAGTTGGAGGAGCCCTTCCCGGGCCGAAGTGGGTGGGGCTGCTTGGGGTGGGCAGCAAGCCAAGCCCTGCTCCAAGGCTGTAGGGTCATTCTTCTCTCAGCAGCAGCCAGGGTACCACCAGGACGGGGAGGGAGGACAGGCCTGGGTCCGGGCTGGGGCCAGGGGCACAGTGTCCTGGTTCCTCGGAGCCAGGAGCGTGACTCACCTTGCCGGCACGTGGGCCCTGTGTAGCCATCCACGCAGTGACACTGGCCACTGACCGGGTCGCAGTCGGCCCCACCCCCGCAGTCACAGCGCAGCACACAGCCTGGGCCAAAGAAGCCGGGTCTGCAGTCTGCGGGGGTGGGGCAGGAGAGGCAAGGCTGAGCGCCATCCCTGCCGATCCCTGCCCGCCCTGGCCAGGCCACCCTCTGCAGAGGCGAAACCCCAAGCCTCGGTCTCCCTTCCCCGTGGGGGCTGTCATCTGGGCAAGTGCCAGGCACCCAGCGCCTGCCCAGGGTCCCAGGCCCCAGGTCCTGCCCAGGCGCAGCAGGGGCAAAGGGGTGCATCCCCGGGGCAGGGCCACATCCGGGACGGTGGCAGCAGATCAGGAAGGTCTCCTTCCCACCTCAGGGGGGTCTCTCTATGACCTCAGCCTTCAACCTGGGCAGAGGTCATCTGAGGACAGGGCGTGGCCGGACAGTGGGGGCAGGCGCCCTGAGCTGCTGCCCCCCACAGAGTGTGGGAACAGAAGCACAAGGAGCCCAGACCCGGGCACAGCATATGCGAGGCTGGACCAGTGTCATGGGCCACAGGCAGAGACCCAGGCCAGTGTCCCCACTAGCGGGACCCCAGACTCACCAAGGCCGCAGGTGGGCCCCCTGCGTCCTGGAGGGCACAAGCAGTGGCCAGTGACTGGGTCACAGCCCGCCCCTTCCTCACAGTCACACTGCTGGCGGCAGCCCTCTCCGAATGAGCCTGGCTCGCACCCTGGGTGGGGGGGCAGTGGGCTCAGCGTCTCCTCCTGCCCCACCCCCAGACTGGGTGAGGGCAGGGCCAGGGCGAGGCTGGGTTTGGAGCACTCACCGCTCTCACAGAACTGGCCTCGGAAGCCAGCAGGGCAGAGACACTGGCCGCTGGCCGGGTGGCAGGGGGCTCCATGGTGGCACTTGCACAGCCCCTGGCAGCCAGCCCCGTGGAAGCCAGGGGGACAGGCTGAGGGAGGACCCGTTAGAGCTCCTGCCTCAGTTTACCCAGTGAGCAAAGGACTGGGTTCAGAGGCCTGCGCTCCCGCTTCCTCCCACCACTGCCTGGCTCCCCCGCCACAGCCTGGTTTCAGGCAGGAGCTCCACGGGCTCCCACTGTGACCTGGGGCCAGGCCCCCAAGAGCTGGACTCGGCTCAGATCCCCAACACGGGCGGGAGGAGTGGGTGTGGGGCCGGGGCCTGCCCGCACGACTCACAGTGCTCGCAGGCCTGGCCGTAGAAGCCGGGGCGGCAGCGGCAGGCTCCCGTGCTGGGCTCGCAGGTGCCGTTGTGGCGGCAGGAGCACTCCAGGTGGCAGGCGGCCCCATAGCGCCCGGCGGGGCAGGCTGGAGAGAACAGCGGGTCGGCCTCCCGCCTCCGAAGCGGGGGCACCGGGGCGGCCCTGGGGCGCTGGCCTGATTCAGGTGACCAGGAGCCTGCCCTCCGGCCTGCCCAGCTGCCCTGGATACTCACCCAGCTCACAGTGCAGCCCTGTCCAGCCCAGGCCGCAGGAGCAGCTGCCGTTGGCCGGGTGGCACAGGCCCCCATTTCTGCAGGCGCACGTGTGCTCACAGCTGGCGCCAAACCGGTCTCGGGGACAGTCTGCAGACAGACGCCGTGCTAGGAGCTCCGGCCTGGGGCTGGACATGCTCCCAGACACTTCCCCACTGGGTCCCACGTGCATTCAACAAACACTTCCCAGGACCTCCTGGGCCAGTCTCTGCACCCAGGGTGCACGGGGGCCAGGGAGTGACATGTGCTGCCCAGTCACCTGTCAGCACAGGCCTGACCAGAGCTGAGGGCGACTTGGGGGGCAAGGGGCCCAGGCCCTGCAGGGGCTTTGGGCAGCAGCCCAGCCGGTAAAAGAGGGTCCGGGCAGCCCTCCCGGAGGGGGCAGCTCTCTGCACAGGTGCACCCGGCACTGCAGGGCCCCTGCTCACACCTGACTGACCCAAGGCTGCCGTCCTCTGGGGTGAGGACGCACCCAGCTACAGCCAGGTCCTGGGGCTCCTGACTCTGCTGAGAAGCAGGGGTGTCACTGGCCCTCTGTGAGGACCGGAGGGCGGTGGTTGGCTCAGACCTTACAGGGGGCCAGGCTAGGGGGCAGTGGTGGGGACCCACATGCCATCGTGAGTGTCAGCTCTGTGACTGATCCCAGGGTCACCCCATTTCTCCACCAAGACCTGAGGCCACGAGCCGCACTCACCGTGCTCGCAGTGGGCGCCGGTCCTCCCCGGCGGGCAGGTGCAGTTGCCGGTCACAGGGTCACAGGTCGCCCCCTGCCCACAGCTGCACAGGTAGGCACAGCCGGGGCCAAAGCGGCCCTGTGGACAGGCTGCCGGGAGGAAATGGGAGGGTGCGGCCCCGGGCTGGATCCCCTTCTGTCAGCCACGTGGGGACAGGGTGGAGCAGGGAGGAGTGTCCCTGCACCCCTGGCCCCTGAAGGCTCAGCTGGGGGCCCAGTGAGTCACTGGGGCCTCCACGGAGCCCAGCCAGCATCCCAGACAGGCGGGAGGTCCCCGTGTGACTCAGAGCAAAGCCCTGTCCTGGCCAGCAAGCCCGCTGGCCTCCGCGTGGCCACGCACCGCCTCTGGCAGGCACCACCCAGGAGGGGGCACAGCCCGTAGGGACCCCCCAGCCTCGCCCCGCCTGGGGCCCGCAGGAGGACCGGGATGGTGGATGGGCAGGCAGGGGGCTGTCTTCCCCACAGACCCGAGGGGGGGGTGCCCACCAAGGTGCAGGAAGGAGCCGCCCCCCACCCAGCACTCACAGAGGCCACAGTCGGCACCCAGGAAGCCAGCGGGGCAGCGGCAGGCGCCCGTGGCTGCGTCACAGGAACCCCCGTTGAGACATCCACACAGCTGCTCACAACCGGACCCGAAGCGCCCGGGGGGGCACCCTGCAGGGGGAGGAGCCGGCTGCAGGGCAGAGCGGTTGGCGTGCCCCTTAGTGCAGAGCCCCTGGGCTCCACCGCCCCACCCACATGAGGACGCCAGGCTGGCGGTCCAGGCAGCACTCACGTTGCCGGCAGCCGGTGCCGCGGTAGCCGGCTGCACACACACAGACGCCCGAGGCAGGGTCGCAGGCCTGGTTCTTGCTGGGACACTGGCACTTCTGCCCACAGTTCTCCCCAAAGGTGCCGGGTGGACAGGCTGGGGTTCGGGCAGGATACATGCAGCTCAGCCCCGGAATGGCCATCCTCCCAGAGCCACCTCCGTGCCCCTCTTGGTGGGAGGTCTTGAGGCCCAACCCAGGGGCACCCACAGCCTGAGTCCCGGGTCACATCAGGAGGACAGAGCTACCCCCCACCTGGGGCCCACCCAGCTCACAGCCTACCCTGTTCACAGCCAGGCCCAGTGAGGCCCGGGGGACAGCGGCACTCTCCAGTGACATGGTGGCAGGCGGTGTCCGCCGGGCACCGGCAGCGCTGGGCACAGGCCTCTCCGAACCAGCCACGTGGGCAGGCTGCAGGAAGATGCGGGCTGGGGTGCCGAGCCCTGGGGCCAGCACGGGCCTGGAGGGCTTCCAGGGTAGATGACCCACCCACGATGCTGGCAGAGCTGGGGGCTCACCAGTGTCACACCGAGAGCCCCTCCATCCCGGGGGGCAGAGGCAGGCCCCAGTGACGGGGTGGCAGGTGGCTCCCCGCCGGCAGGCACAGCGCTCCTCACAGCGAGCCCCGAACGTGCCCTCGGCACAGGCTGCGGGGGGAGAAGGCAAGAGGGTGGGGCCACCAAGACCCTCCCACAGGGGACCCTGGGCAAGCCCAAACAGGAGCCCCACCCCCACAGGATACCCGACCACCTGCTGAGCACCCCCACCCAGAGAGCAGCTGAAGCCGCCCCCTGCTGGGCCAGCAGGGCCTCTGAGCCCCTTGCACCGGCCCCCAACCCATCCCACTCACGGCTCTGACACTTGTCCCCCGTCCAGCCAGCGGGGCAGAGGCAGCTGCCTGTGTGCCGGTCACAGAGGCCGCCACGGAGGCACCCGCAGCCGTGCTGGCAGCCGGCTCCGAAGCGCCCTGGGGGGCACTCTGCAGGGGTGGACACGGGCAGGGGTCCCACATCCTGGGGCGAGCTCTGACCCTGGGGCCCACCCAAAGCCTGAAGTCCCGTGTCCCTGCGCTCAACACTGAAGGCCAGAGGCCACACCCAGGACGCTATCCTCACCCCAAGCAGGCAGCCAGCTTTGGCCTCCGAGAGGGGGTGCCAGGGGCCCATCGGGGTGCCAGCCCTGGCTCCCACAGCCCCCCAGGGTCCCCCACGCCTCCTCTGCCCACCCAGTGCTCACCCTCCTCGCAGGCCGGGCCAGCCCAGCCCTCCGGGCAGGTGCAGTGGCCCGAGACAGGGTCGCAGGTGCCTCCGTTCCGGCAGAGGCAGACGTGCCGGCAGTCCTCACCATGCAGACCCGCGGGGCAGGCTGGGGACAGAGGGCCAGGGTGGGCGCAGCCCCCACCCGCCGGGCCCTCTCTCTGTCGGGGGCGGCCCAAAGCCCAGCATCAACTGCAGGGCGGAGAGCTCTCACACTGCTCCCCCCGGGACCACCTGCCCCGGCCACCCGCGCTCACCACCCCGGCTGTGGGGGGCTTGGTGCCGAAGGTGGGGCCGTGGGGCCTCAGTAGCCACTGTCCTTCCCTCCCCCAGGGGCCAGATGGCCCCAGGGTGCTGGGCAGGCCTTACCCTGCAGGCAGTTGGGGCCGGTCCAGCCAGGGCCACAGTGGCACTGCCCGTGGACCGGGTCACAGGAGGCCCCGTTGAAGCAGGTGCAGGCCTGGCTACAGTTGTGCCCATGGGTCAGGGCCGGGCAGGCTGCAGAGAGGTCAGAGGTCAGAGGTCAGGGGCGCGGGCCCCCCCACCCCCCGGCCTGGGCGTCACTCAGGGTGACTTGGAGTAGGGGCCCTCACACCGGCCTGTGTGGGCAAAGCACGGGGCTGACACGGCCTCACGCACTCTGGGCGCAGCGGGGGCCCCGGCGGCCCGCAGGGCAGAGACAGGCGCCACTCTCGGCATCGCAGGGCACCCCGGCGGCACAGTCACAGGCACGGTGGCAGTCCAGTCCGAAGAAGCCGGCTGGGCAGGCTGCGGGGGAGGGTGTGGTGACGGGCCACGGCCAGCTCACCGGACCCTGCCCCTCTCCCGGCCCCGGGCCCGCCCCTGCTCACCTAGCTCACAGAAGGTGCCCCTCCAGCCAGCTGGGCAGGTACAGGCCCCACTGACGTGGTCACAGGCCCCTCCGTGCTCACACCGGCACCGCCTCTCACAGCCCGGCCCAAAGCGGCCTTGGGGACACCCTGAGACACACAGCCCCAGCCCACCATCAGCCGGGAGGACGGGGAGCTTCACCCCGTCCTGCCTGGGCCTCCCCCACCCCCGAGGGGGCAGGACAGCAGCCCCTTCCTGCCCTAGGGTACTGAGCTCCCCCTCCCCCCACCCCGCCCAAGCGGGGGCAGGAGCCCCAGGGGGGACTTTGGGGACACTGGTAGGAGGACTTGCCCCAGGTCTGCCTCATCTCCCCCACCCAGCCACAGGCGGGAGCACAGGCAGAAGGCACGGCCCTCGGTCCTCAGCAGCCACACTGCCCCCTGCTCTCGGGGCCCACGGGTGTGAGTGTGGGTGAGCAGACCCCCTGCTGTGTGAGGACGAGAGGGCAGGGCCAGGGCCCCCGGCACTTGCACGCGTGTGTGTGGAGATGTGTGTGCTTGTGTGTGTGAGCATGTGTGTGCACACATGTATGTGTGCAAACGTCTAGTATGGGCACACGTGTGTGCGTGTATGTGCACGGGGTGCAGAGCCCACTCACGCTGCTCGCACCGCGGGCCCAGGTAGCCGGCCTCGCACAGGCAGGAGCCGCTGATGGCGTCGCAGCCCCCGTGGCCCGCGCTGCAGTTGCAGGTGCGGCTGCAGTCAGGTCCCCAGCGTCCGCTGTCACAGGCTGCAACAAACCCCCGTCACCCTGCACAGGCCCGCCAGAGCCCTGGGGCCCCCAGCCCCCCAGGTGCCAGGTAGAGGACTTTCCAGGGGCAGGGGCACTGGACACGGCCACCTACCTCTCTGGCAGCTGAGGCCGGTCCACCCCGGGGCGCAGCTGCAATGCCCGGTCGCCGGGTCACAGTGCCCATCGTTGGCACAGGAGCAGCGCGTGTGGCAGCCGGGCCCAAACCAGCCTGCGGGGCACGCTGCAGGTGTGGAGGAGGGTGAGCGGGGTCGGGGACCACAGCTCCCGGGCAGGGGCTCAGGGCCCGAGTGTGGCACTCACCATCCTGGCAGAGGCTGCCCGTGTAGCCGGGGCGGCACCGGCAGGCTCCAGTCTCGGGCTCACAGGCAGCTCCGTGCTCACACGCTGGGCATATCTCCTGGCAGCCGAGCCCCCAGCGGCCCTCGGGGCAATCTAGCCCCCCCACAGCCAGTCACTCTCCCCAGGGCCTTGCTGGGCATCTGGCACAGCACTGAACCCCGTGCACAAGAGTGGGAGCAGGAGGGATGGGTGGCCGCCACCACCCAAAGGGGAGCCCCAGTCTGGGGTGGCCCAGCAGACCCCCGTGCAGGAAACACGCAGCCTGGAGGGCGAACTGCAGGGTCCCCGGGAAGCACTGGGGTTCTGCCAGCCAACCCACCCCAAGGATGAGGCTCCTGGCATCTCCCGTGAGCACAGCCCACAGGGTGGCCCCAGCCCCACTCCCAGGCCTCGGGGGGTCAGCGGGGGCTCCTGCAGCTTCTGCCGACGGGCCTGGGACCAGGGTGCTCGCACAGGAGCCAGGGCTGGGCTCTGTGAACACGGTGGGGAACTGGGGCCCCACCAGAGAGGTGCGGCATGGGGAGGTGAGGGGACCCAGGATGTGCCTGCCACTCACCTTCCCCACAGGCGTCCCCCGTCCGCCCAGGCGGGCACAGGCACTGCCCAGTGACCCTGTTGCAGGGGGCCCCCCCGCAGGAGCAGGAGCCCGAGCAGTTCACACCAAATGTCCCCTCTGGGCACTCTGTGGGGGCAGGGGACAGGACCGGCCTCAGCCACCCACACGGGCAGCTGTGCTCCTCCCCCAGAGCCCCCACCCTGGCCCAGCGGCCCTGCTGGACACAGCTGGGGTCCCCTAGGGGAGCAAGGTAGTCTCAGAGTGGGCAGGGCGAGGGACACGGAGCACAGTGGGAGGGGTCTGCATGGCTCAGGGTGAGGGTCACCTGGAGGGTGGAGTGGGGCAGGGCCGCGGGCGGGGCTGCCAGAGGGCCAGGCTCAGGCAGCAGTGGGCATCTAGGACCCTGGAGAGCACCCAGGAGAGGCTCACAGTGGCTCTGCCCTTCCTCCAGCCACCTGGGTCCCCTGGACCCCCCACTGTGGCCCCTCAGAGTCCTGCCCCCCAGCTGAGGGGTGGGAGGGTTCGGGCAGGGATGGCCCGGGTTTGGTGGCAGCCGCGCCTCAGGAAGGACTGTGGGTACCTTGATCCCCAGCCCCCCTGCCCGGTGAGCACGGCCCGTGTCTGCCTCAGCTCGGGGTACCCACGCCGATGCTGCTGGAAGGAAGCTCCCCCAGGCCTCGGACGGCCACGCGGCACTCGGAGAGGGCGGCTGCGCCACCTTCCACGCCCCCGTCCCAAAGAACCAGACCCCACCGAGCACACATCCCATGCACGCCGCGCCCCAAGGGGGCTCTGGGACAGAGGACAAGGAACCCGGTCACGAGGACCCAGCCCCTGAGGGCACCCCCTGGTCTCCCTGTGGGGCACAGGCGTGAGCACACACACACACAGGCACCATTCTGGGAACCCCAGACGGGGCGCCCCATGGGCCTCCCCCTCTGCTGACTGGGGGCAGACGCCTGTCTGCCTTGCTAATACTTTCCAGGCCTAATAACAGCGGGTCGGGGGGAGGCATCATTCCTATTAAAAAAATGTGTGTCACTTCCTGTGGCTCATCTTGGGGCACTGAAGGCTTTTAAAGAGAAAAGGGAGTAAGAAATCCACAGGGAAGGGCAGGCAGGGGCTGGAAGGGGGGGCTGCAGCGTTGGGGGGCACATGTGTGCATGGGCGTGGGGAGTCGGGAGAGACCAGTGGCCACCTGTGGGTCACCGGGCTCCAATGGTGCCCTCACAGACAGGACAGCAGAGGCAGGTGGCCTGGAACCCGGAGCTCTTCAGAGGCCAGGTCGGGCTTGGGAGGGGGGTCCCGGCCGGGTCCCCACATAGCTGTCCTGTACCCACGCGACCAAGAACCTCCACAGGGTCATCACCAGGGGCCTGGGGACCATGACGCGGGAGGGCCTGGCCTGGGTGCAGAGGGGAGATGGGCCCCTCGGCTGAGGCTGGGCAGACCCTCATGCCTATCCTGACTCCTCGGGGCTGGGGGGCTGGGAGGCAGCTCTGAGTGAGGGGACAGGCCTGTGGCTGCAGGGAGCTCAAGCCAGCCGTCCCCTGGCTGCGGCCACGGCATAGCCACCCCACGGTGCCCCACACCCCCGATCCTGTCTGCTGAGGTGGACAGCACGAGCGTGGTGTGCCGAGGAGGTCCCAACCTGCCGGCGCTCTGCCACTGCAGGTGGTGGCGGCAGTCCTGGCACTCACACAGACGCCTTTCCCCTCATCTGAGGGGGACACGTGAAGGGGCCCCACGCCTCCAGCCTCACCCCGGTTCTACGCCCATTCCCAGGGCCCCAGGCCCGTGCAGAGCTGCCCAGACTCGGCTCTGAGGTGCCACCCTCGGGACTAGCTCCCTGTCTGGCTGGCTCGGGCCCCGGGGGGCAGACCCTGAGCCCCAGCTTCAGCCCAGAGCACACTCAGCGCTCCAGGGGAAGGAGCAAGCCGGTGAGCAAGGAGCAGTCACAGAGAGGCATCGACCCTTCTCTGGGCGGGGCTCCCGGCACATACTCCGGGCCCTGCCCGAGTGCATTCGCAGGTGCCCAGTGACAGGCAGCCCAGCAGGGCGGGGACCAGGGGACCTGGGCGGGGACCTGGCTCCGGGGACCAGCCACTCACCGTGGTCACAGTCCTCCCCCCGGTAGCCGGCAGGACACCGCTTCCCACACTCGCCGCTGACATGGTCACAGGCTAAGCCCGGGGGACAGGCACAGGCCTGCTGGCAGCCCGGCCCGAAGAAGCCAGGCTCGCACGCTGCAGGGGTGAGGAGAGAGGGGCCTTCGGGCTCAGCCAGCCCCAGAGCCGCGCTGTGCCCCGCCCCTCCCTCCTCCCCGGCCCTCACCGTGCTCGCACCGCCGGCCCCGGAAGCCCGCCTTGCAGAAGCAGCTGCCGTCCTTCCCGTCGCAGGCTTGCGTGTTCGGCTGCTCACACTGGCACTCCTCCGAGCAGCCTGGCCCGAAGGCCCACGGCGGGCAGGCTGCACCCACAGAGCCTTGAGGGGCCTGCCGCCTGGGCGCCCAGCCCCTCCCCGGTCCCAGGCTCTCCAGCCCCCCTTCCCTGGTCCGTGTCCCTGGGACCCGGAACTGGAACTGGTCCAGGCACCTGTGTCCCAGAGGCCCGGTCACTGTCCGTTTCGGAGACGAGAAACCGGGTCTCAGTGGAGTTAAGGGAACTGCCCTGGGTCACCCCATTTCCCAGCCGGGAAACACCTGGGGTCCCCGTGTTCTCCATACAGAGCTGCTGGGAGGAAGCCTCCTGTCATCCCCTACTGCCCCCCGCCCCGGGGGTTGCAGGGCCCACCCTTGCACACCAGAGTCTCCAAATCCCAACAAGAGCCCTGCGTCCTGGAACCCCTGGAGGGAGGGCTACCATCTCCCTGACCTGGGCTGGGTGCACCATCTCCCTGACCTGGGCTGGGCCCCACCCACCACACGGCCCGGAGGCCAGCAGCTCCGTGGCTTGGAGGCCCCAGACCCGGGCGGACCCCACATCCCAGCAGGGGGCCTCGCTGAGCCCCCACCCTCATCTGTGACGACCAGTAGGACCCAAGCCAGACTCGGGGTGGTGGGACACAGCGGCGCCAGCCTCCTGGGCACAGGCAGGGGACTCACCCAGGTGGCAGAAGCGGCCGTACAGCCCGGGGTCACAGAGGCAGGCCCCGTAGAGGCGGTGGCAGCGGCCCCGGTTGGCGCAGTGGCACTTCTTACTGCAATGCTTGCCGTAGAAACCCTTGGGGCAGCCTGGGGGGAGGTGACTCGTTATGAGCGCCCACTCTCAATGGCCCCCACACCCAAGGAGATGCTCCAATAAACCCCAATGCCCAGCATGAGAGTCAGGAGTAGCCTGGCCACCGGGGCACGGCCGGAGGGCTTTGGGGCCACCGGCAGCCTGAGAGGCCTGCCTCCCAGACAGAGAGGGGTCAGAGGGTACGCAAGGCACCAGGAGGGCAGGGCAGGGACAAGAGGGGCTCCCAGGATGTGGCCATCAGCTCTGGCTGGCTCACTCCCTCCCTGGCTCCGTGGCCGGGATGGTGGCCCAGGCAGGAAGCAGGCGTGTGGCTCAGCAAGCAGGTGGACACACACAGGCCCCTCCTGATCTCCGGTGTCTGGCCCACATCCACAGCATCCAGACCTCTGTCCCTCGGCGGCCACCTCACCCGACCTCTAGACCCCAAAGAGGGAAGGACACACGGCCCCAGCTGGCCAGGGTCCCGGGCATCAGCTCAGGAGGCCAGCACGAGGAGGGGGCTCTGGCCGTCCTTCCCAAAGCCCTTCCCCTGACCCGGTGCTGCTGCTGACAGGCCACCTGGGCCAGATGGTGCCCCCGACACACGTCCACGTCCCTGCCCCCGCATCTCCAGGGGGGCCCATCCTTGCTTAGCCACACCAGCCAAATCCCAACGGCAGGTGTCCTTAGACGAGAAAGGAGCAGAGACCACAAGGCAGATGGGGCAGATGGAGGGAGGCAGCCGCAAGCCCCGCACACCTGGACGAACCAGGGGCCGACGGGCCGAGAAGTGCCCACCCCTGAACGCTGGCCTGCCGCCTGACCTAGGATTGGCCCCCCGCAAGCCCATCTGCACAGGGCCCCAAGGGAGACCCCGGGCTCTGGGACACCAGGGCCTTACAAGCAGAAGCACAGAGATGCAGGCCATTTGCCTGCCTGGCATCCTCCGGTCCCTTCAGGGCCCACCCCACAGGTCGGTGCTAACAGGCAGCAGGGTCTCGACCCTCAGGACAGGGATGGCAGGCTGAAAGGGGAGGAAAACAGCGAGGCTGCCGGAGCCAAGATGGCTGAGCAGGGGAGGAGGCGGAGCCCCGCTCAGCTGCCCTGGACTTTGAAACTCGCCCCATAGCCTTCACATGGGCCACCCCAGGCATGGGCACGGGCCTGCTGACAGCTACCCTCCGCTCGCTGCGGCAGGAGGTTCTCAGTCACATCAGTGACATCCTCTGGCAGAAGAGGTGGAATTTTAAAGGACTGAAGACGTGAAGAAGCGTCAGTCACCTGAAACAATCATTTCTGCAGACCCCCAAGTTCCTCCAGAGATGCTGGCACTTCAGGGATAGAAACGATGTTCCCGTCACCCTGTCAAGCCACGGGCCCAGGAGTGACGCCTCCTGCAAATCCCACCCAGCCATCATACAGCTCTACTTGGATGCTTCTGGAAATGGGGAGCTCACTACCTCCCAGGGGAGCCCATTCCAAAAGTGAGATGCTTCTGTCAGGTCTTTGCCACCTGCGATCATCTGGCCCCAGGACACTTAGCAAACTGACAACTCAGCGCCTCTCTCCATGCAGGGCCCCCCCACCCAAGCTGCTCCCCCCACTCTGTGGAAGGAAAGTGAGTAGCAGAAAGCCAGAAGGGGGCTGAGAGGGGCACCTTTCCCTCCTGCCCACCCCAGGGAGTGTCAACGCCCAATGGGGTGCACCCACCATCCTCACAGTGGGCTCCGCTGACACCCGGGGGGCAGCGGCAGGCCCCCGTCACAGGGTCGCAGGTCCCGCCGTTCTGACAGCTGCAGGCAGAGCTGCAGTTCTTCCCGAAGGTGTCTGGGGGGCAAGCTGCAGGGGACATGGAGGGACAAGGTTGGGGGCCACTGCAGCAGGACCCTGGGCCCCGAAGCCCCTCCAGGACACGGAGACACCAGCCCAGTCCAGAAGCAACTGCTCAGAGCAGGAAGCAGGATGTTCGTGCCATGACGCCCACAAGCAGGGCAGGAGTCCCAACCAATGGCCACACCCCGTCCCTCTGAGCACCAACACGCGTGCCTTCCCCACCAGTGCTTTCAACAAGCAGATCCTGGAGAGTCCCTAAGACCCCGACACCGAGCCACCAGGGCCGGCCCTGCCCTAGGGGCAGTGGGTGGTGGGTGGCACAGGGTCTGGAGGGAGAGACGGTTTTGTCCACCGAGCCCCAGCCGCCAACAGACCGCCTGGCCTGGGGAAGACACTGCTCCCAGTGGGGGAAGGGGCCGGGCGCTGGCCCGGCCGCCAGCGGCGCTTCACCAGACACCCTCCATCGTCCCGACCCCTGTCCACAGCGATGTCTGTGGGGGCCAGACGCCTGGCACAGGGCAGGCGGTCAGTAGATGCTGTACGAGCGAGTGGGCGGGCAGACCCACATGGACTGCCTGCTGGGGGCCAGCGGGCAGGAGCAAAGGGCCGGGCCCCGCCCAAGTCCTAGGCGGGGGCACCCTCCCACCCCGCCCCTGCACAGCGGCTCACTCTCGTTGCAGACGAGCCCGGTCCAGCCCTCGGGGCAGTCGCAGCCGTCCAGGCCCGGGAGACAGGTCCCCCCGTTCCCACAGTCCTCGCAGGTCAGGCTGCAGTCGGGGCCGAAGGCATCCTCCAGGCAGACTGGGGGCAGGCAACACGGGGGGTGGGAGCTCGGGCCTCACCCGGGCCCGCTTCCACGGCGTGTCCTCCACCCACGGAAGCCCCCAGTGGGATAGAGGGGAGCAGGAGCCAGAGGCCAAGGCCTGGGAGGGCACTAACCCAGGAGTAAGGGGCGTGTCCATCCCAGGTCCAGCCCAACGCTCTGGGCACGCTGCCGTGTGGCTGGACCTCTGGGCCTCGGCCAGACAAGGTCTTCCTTCCCGCCACTGGCCAGGGTGGCCCAAGAGGGACCGCCACGTCCCTGAGATCGGGGCCCACTGCTCACCAAACTTCTCCTCCAGCGTGTGCTCGCCCCGGGCCTCCGCCTCCTCAGCCCCGACATAGTCGTCTTGGAAGAGGTGGGACAGCGCGTCCTGCAGCACCGAGACATGTGGCAGGGGCCGCACGAAGGGCAGCCGGCCATCCGGGTCCATCTCTAGGGCTGCGGGGGACACAAAGGCCCCTCAGCCCCCGTGGCCCACCTATGCTTGGGACAACGCCCTTGCCCCTCGGTGCCCAGAGCTGTCCCGGAGCCCCAGCCCCACCCAGGGTCCCTGCCGACAGTCCCCTATTCCCCTCCTCACCCAGCTGCCCCCCTGATCCCACTTCTCAGGACAGACAAGGCCCCGAGCACAGAGCACCTGGCCTGGCTCCCGCCCGGCCCCACCCCCCACCCTGGATCTGGGGACCCGGATAGTGGACAGGACAGAAGCTGGACCTCAGCGACACCCTGCCTGGGGGCCACCTGTCTGAACAGAGCACCCCTGCAGCTGCTGCCCGGGCTCATCCCCCAGTGGGAGGTGGGGCTGATGGTGGTCCAGCCAGCAGGAAGGTGGGCTGGAAGGCAGGTGGACACTGCTCCGGGAAGGGGCCGGCGCAGTGGCCAGGGAAGACTCACGAGAGCAGCCCCGGCGGTCCTCGTCCAGCCGGAAGCCAGCCTCGCAGGAGCACCGGAAGGAGCCTGCCAGGTTGGTGCAGTGGTGGTCGCAGCCCCCGCGGTCAGACGCACACTCATCCACATCTGTGGGCAGACGGGGCTGCTGGGGCCTGTCCTCGGGAGCAGACTCAGAGGACCCTGTGGCCCTGCTCTGCCCACCGGCCCCACGGCTGTGCCTGCCTGGTGACGGCCTGCCACGGCCATCCTCCCACCGCAGGCTCAGGGCGACAGCGGACACCCTGCCTGAGGGCAGCCAGGCTGGGAGCGGCCTGGGGAGTGGGCCCTGTCCCCTGAGAGGAACTGGCGACCCCCAGGTCAGGGGTCCACCGGGCCAATCTGAACAGCCGTGCAGACAACAGGTGCCCAACCAACGCCCAGAGGCAAGGCCCGGGCCCCCCAGCTCACCCTCACAGCCGCAGCCGTCAGGGAGGAGCCGGTAGCCGGCATAGCAGCTGCACTCGTAGCCGCCGGGGCTGTTGGCGCAAGCCTGCTGGCAGCAGGGTGCATCGGCGCAGTCGTCCACGTCTGCGGGGACACACGGGGGCCCGCTGTGCCCTGGTGTGCCCTGTGCGCACCTCCGTACACACACCCACAGGCACCAACAGGACATGCCGCCCTGGCTGAGGGGGCCAGGCGGGAGACTGGGGGTGCCGAGTCCATCTTAGAGGCAAAGTCTCCCTGTGGGGAGTAGACCCTTGCACTCCCGGGCATTCTGGGTGCGACTCCCAGTGACCGGGGAGTCCCCCTGGGACCACTCAGGGGCGGGGGCGAAGAGAGCTCTGGTGTGACTGGAGGGACGTCCGCAGCACCGGGCGGGCAGAGGTGCGCCCCTGGGCGGGGCCAGGGGCCTGAGGGTGGGGCGGTGCGCACCGATGCACGTCTTCTGGTCCTCGTCCAGCCCGTAGCCACGGGGGCAGGTGCACAGCGGCCCCTCACTGCTGTGGCTACAGCCATGGGAACAGCCGCCATTGTCCACCTCACAGCTGTTCACGATCTCCATCTCGATCCCTGAGATGAGACCCGTCCCCAGGACATGGAATGCGGTCTGGGTGACGCCCCCCACTGATCACAGTCTGCCCTGGCCCAGCAGCCAGCCTGGGGCCCCGGGGCCACTCTCCCGGGAAACCGGTGGCCTGGAGCCGGGGGCAGGATGGGCCCTGGAGCCCCTGCCCTCCTCCGCCGCCTACACTCAGCAGGGCTGCTGATCCGCAAGGAGGCTGGGCCACAGCAAGCAGGTAGCTGGGGGGCCTTGGAGCCCACCTGCCACCCCCGGTCGCTGCTACACCCCGGCACACCCGGCCCGCTGCCCGGGGCCACTCACTGTAGCACTGCCGACCGTCGGCCCCCAGCTCGTAGCCTGCGCGGCACACGCACTTAAAGGACCCTCGAGTGTTGAGGCAGCCGTGAGCACACTGGGCCAGTCCCTCCGCACACTCGTCCACGTCTGGGCGGGAGAGACCAAGGGGGAGGACTCCGGGCCGCTGGCCTGGGAGGCGCCCCCCGGGGGCAGTGCCTCTGTGTGGAGGGCACCCTTGTGCCCGGAGGGGCCACACCTGCCTGCCGCCCCCCACCCCAGCTCTGCGGCAGCCCCAGGCCGGGCTGGCCCCTCTGTGCACCTGGTTTTCACCAAGCTCCCCAGGGCTGGGAAGGCACGGCCCAGTTGGCACTCCAGAGCCCACCGGCTTGCACGCAAGGCCCCGCCAGCGGCACCGGGCAAGGCTCTCCACCTCTCAGAGCCCTCGGCCACGCCCACCCCACTCCACCAAGCCCCCTGTCCAGGGCGTGGCCAGGAGGGGCCCATCCGCACCACCTCTGGGGCCAGCAGGGGCAGGTGCCCACCAATGACATCATGCGGTTATCAGTGCCAGCACCCAGCACCCGAGTCCCAGGGACCCCACCACTGTGTTGGCCACAGCCCCACAGTTCCTCGGGATGAAGAAGCTGACACTCATCCCTGCCTCCCGCTGACCCCGCCAAGTCACCTGCATCCACAGTGACATTGGCAAAGATTCCCGAGACATCCCTTCCTGAGGCGACTGCCGTGTGGAACCACACCTGCAGCCTGTCGCCTGAGGGTGCACTCAGACCCCCCCCACGGCTGCTCCTGCAGGACCACCTGTCACAGAGAGGAGTGGGGACACCCGGAAGTCCTGGGACCAGGGAGCGGCCAACCCTGCACAGCGCCAGCTGGGACCCCCGCCGCCTGGGGTGTGGGGCGCACTCTCAGACACGGCACCCAACACATGGACAAAACCGAGACAGCCGGGGGCCGGCGAGCTGTCTCCAGCTCAGGGCACTGGTTCCCTCTTTCTCCTCTCAGCTTCCCAGCCAGGCAGGTCCCGCTTGGGCAACCCCAGAAATACTGAAGAACACACACTCAGCCCAAAGCCTGCCAGCTGTGGCTCAAAGGCGGCTGAGTTTGGAGGCGGCCCCTTCAGTGCATTCCTGCCCCTAGGCCGCCAGCCCCACAGCAGACAGGAGCCCCAGGCCAGCCCTACAAGGCCACGGGCAGCTGGACGCAGCCAGGCTGGTCCAGCGGTACCGGGTCCCTCCACAGGTGACCCCCGGGCGGGGTCGCCCCGGGGAAGGGCGTCCTACCTTCGCAGGCCTTGCGGTCAGCCGCCAGCCGGTAGCCCGGGTGGCACTCACAGTGGGCGAGGCCCCGGAGCGCCCGGCAGGTGTGCATGCAGCCGCCGTTCCGGTCCGCACACGGGTTTCTCCCTGCGGTCATGGCCGGGAGGGCCAGAGGTGAAGCAAAGAGATTTGGGTGGGAGGTGGGGGGGCTCCTGCAGACTCAAGGGTCCCTCCCTGCTCCAGTGTGCCGGGGGGCCAGTGGGTCTCCCTCCCTCAGAGGCGGGAGCTCCCAAGCACCCCAGACGAGACAGCTCTGCACAAGCCTCTCCCCCTGTTGGAGCCAGCAGCTCCCTTGGCCCCGTGCCACCTGAACCCACGGCTGGCCTAGCCCCTCAGGCCCATCCATACCCAATCCTGGCCTGGCATCCAAGAAGCCAGAGGGGGGGGCGCTGCCTCAGCACCTGCTCCACCCTGCCCCCCACGTGCACATCACGGAAGCACCCCCGACCCTGCTCTATCGGTGAAGCCCCCCTTTTTTGACAGGCAGCCCAAGAAATGAGGACAAGGTGCCAGAGGGGGCCTGGCCCGCCTTCTTCACTCAGGGGCCTCGGCCTGCGTCCTGCCCACCCCACCAAGCTCAGAGCAGGTCTCGGACTGAGCACCACGCAGGGTGCTCCCGTCCTGAGCGCCTTGCCCCCACAGGCATGTGATCCCAGAGCACCCAGCGGCAGGGCGAGGCCCCCTTCCCGCCCCGGGGTGGCGCACACTCACGGACGCAGCGCCTGCCGTCTTCCTGGAGCTGGAACTCAGGCCGGCACTGGCAGCGGTGCTGGGTCACGGTGAGCTGCAGACAGCTGTGCTGGCAGCCCCCGTTGCCCACGGCACAGGAGGGGACAGCTGGGGATGCAGAGAGTGGCTGGCTCAGCTCCGGAGCAGGCCGTGACGCTCAGCGGAAGTATGCTCTAAGCCCCTCCACCTGCCCACCTCTGCCCCAGTTGTGGGGCTTCAAGAGGGCCATCTGGCTCCCCCGGGTACAGGGGGTGCAGGCCCACAGTCGAGCTGTTCAGCCTCTGACCCCAGCCCATATGGGGACAGCCTCTTAGAGAAAGCTGGCACCACCAGCACCCCCGCTGACAGCCAGTGTGTCCCGGACTCAGAGGCAGAGCAGGCCGGGAGGCTGCCTGGAGGAGGTGGCAGGCCAACAAGGGGTGGTGGAGGCCCAGACGTTCCACTATTCTGGTCGTCAGGTCACGGCTGAGGGGCAGGCTTGGGGTTTCCACAGAAGGCCACTGTCCCTGGCTCCTGAAGGATGGGCGCACCTCCTGCCTGCCCAGACCAGCCATGGCTCCCAGCAGTCGTGCGGACAGCACTAGGTGAGACTGCAAAGCGAGGGACCCGAGTCCCAGTCCCAGGACACCAGTGGTCTAGGCCTGCATTTGCGGGCGCCCACAGGGTGGGCTCTGCCGGGTCAGACCAGCCAAGTGGCGCCCATGAACTGGGTGGAGGGGCCAGGCTGTGCCTGGGAAGGAGGTGCTGAGCGAGGCTGGGCGCCCAGGGCAGGCACCGGGCCTCTGGCAACCCCACAAAAGCTCTGGTAGTGGCCTGGTGGTTAGGGCAGGCGTCGGCGCAGAACTCAGGAGCAAAACCACAGGCATGCGGTCCCGGCAGGCCTGGTGCGGAGCAGACCCGAGTCCTGTCCCTGCAGCAGTGGGGCCGCCAGGGGCGGGGCCTCCCCCGGAGACGCCCCCATGCCATCATCGGCCACTGGGGTGAGCCTGGGAGCCGGGAGCACAGGCCTGGCACCAGGGGGACAGGACTCTGAGGCCAGAGGAGCTGGGCACGGCACGGCGCCCGCACGCGGAGGACTGGAGCGGCCTCAGGGCTCAGGAGAGGCTGCGGCCACGCTGTCTGCCAAAAGCAAAGCTTCCTTCAAAGCAAGTATGTCTGAAAAAAGCCAAGCAGAGCCTGCAAGACACGCCCTGTTTCCCCCCACGCGGCAAGTGGGCGCAGAGGAAGGCGCCAGGGGTGAATGGAAAGGCCCTGTCTCCTGATCATACCTGGCACCGGCGCATGCCGGGGAGAAGCAGCAGAGACACGTGGCCTGGGCAGGACGGAGGCAAGCAGGGCAGCCACTGTCTCCGGTCCCCGTCAGCCCCTGAGCCTTCTCCCCACCCACCTACCCCCGACTGTGCCCCCAAAGACCTGCCTGCCTCACCCAACACAGCTCTGCTGCGGCCACCTCCATCACTCCGGGGGTGTCCGAGTACAGCCTGACCCAGTCCTGCCCCCACGGGCTGTCTGTGCTCACAACCCCAGCCCTGCTCAGGACTCCTAATAGAAACCAGACCCTCCCTGGCAGGGCAAGCGGGCAGGCTCACAGACACAGGGGCCGGAGCCCCGGGCGGGGGTGGGGGGGGCCAGCTGGGCCGATACCTCGGCCTGAGGGAGGACCCCGGCAGTGGTGGCTGGGCCAGAAAGAAGCCTCTCAGGATGGGCCCACAGGCCTGGCGCCGAGCCCACCAGAGTTCACAGGGGAGGAATCCCGGCAGGCGGGCGTGGACGGCAGCGGTCCAGGCTCCCTGTGCCGCCCCGCACCCTCCCTGGCCACCGCTTCCCGCTCTGCTGTGCACATCCTAATGTTCCAGGTGCCCCCGGGAGGCAGCCGAGCCCAGCGCCGCCTGGTACGGCCTGGGCCGGGTCCCCAGAGAGCTGACACAGGCACATTTCTCAGGCGCCAGGCCAGGCTGCTCAGGGAAGGGCCGGCTGCTGTTTGATCAGTGCCCAGAGCTGGTGGGGACATTCCCAGGCCCCTGAGTCCTCAGGTCCTAGGGACCCCTGCCTGGGCAGTCCCGCACACCAAGACGACACTCAGCCCTGACACAAAGCTGACGGCCCAGCAGAGGATGAAAATTAGGGGGTCCACAGCCCCCGGTGGGCTGAATGCTCACGCCCCCCCAACTCTAGTGCCCACGTGACCGTACCCAGAGGTAAGCCTTCGTGGAGGTAATTAAGGTTACACGAGGCCATAAGGACGGGGCCCTGACACCACAGGAGACCCGAGGCCTCTTGGTCTGCCTCTCGGCCAGGTGAGGACCTGGGGGGGGAGGGGTGCCACCAGGGAGCCGGCTCTCACCGGGACTGAACTTCCGGCCTCCAGGACGGTGAGAAAATTAACATTTATTGTTCGAGCCCCTGAGTCTGTGGTATTTGTTACAGCAGCCTGAGCTGACTGACCCACCCTCACTCCCCAGTTTGGGGACCCTGGGCTTCAGCCCCAGGTGGCAGGGTTCTAACAGAGCTGGGCTGCAATTCCCCCTTCGTCCAGCAGTGGCCGCCCTACTCTGGAGCCCCGGGTGCGAAGCCTTGAGATCCACAAAAGAACCGAGCGTCCTCACCTGAGCAGGAAACGCTGTCTAGACGACAAGGGTCCCACAAGGAGGGGCCCCTCTGTCTCTGCTTCTGGGGGTGCAGGAGTCAGTGCCTGAGGCCTGGCCATGGCTTTGGGTTGGAACTCGGTGCCAGGTGCACCAGATTGCCGGGGCTGTGGATGGCCGGCCTCCAGGCAGCTCTGTGGGCAAGGCCCTGGTCCCAGGCCCGGCACATCGGCCAGCCGGAGCAGGCCAGCTAAGGGGCTGTGCTGGGGCAGGCGGGGGAGCAGGCCCGTCACCCACGGGCCAAGCCCACCAGCTCCCTTTGCTCCAGCCTCCAACCAGCTGGTGGTTCGGGGCTGGGTTTCGTAATTACCGCCCTCAGCCTGGCTTGGTTTCCGGATCCCAAGAGCCTCTCCCCACGTGTGGTCAGTGGCCATCCGCAGCCCTTCCTTCTAGGAAGCCCTCTGTTGGGGACAGGGCCAGGATGGCAGGACAGGAAGGGGTGACCTGCTGGCTGAGCCAAGAGGACAAACTCACCTGGGCTTCACCCCCAGACAGCTCAGGGGCCACCCACTGCTCACCCTTGCGCATCCTGCCCCGTCCCCCAGCCTCACACAGGGCCCCGGCACTACACAGGGACACAATTCACCTGAGTCCGAGCCCACATTCCAGGGACAGAAGCCTGGTGGCCCGGGCCCCAACACCACAGACCGCACCCTCGCCAGCCCCGGCTCCGCAGCCCCAGAGAGGGGGCTCCCAGGACAGCCTGTTCTTCCGGGCTCCTGCCCTTGGGAGCAGGGGCCGCCCTGACCACCTGCCATCCAGACCAGGGGTGGGAGGGGTGGGGGGGCCGCAGCCTAGTTCTGGTTCGTGGGGGCTCACAGACCACCCTCAGGACGGCATCTGCGGCTTTGCAGGCATGAGTTTTGCAGACAAACCTCGCGGTCGCCCCATCCCTGCTGCCCGCACTGTCACCGCCCCAGACCTGCCAGGGGCAGGCTCTCAGAGGGCTCGGCCCTCCCCAGGGGGCAGAGACAAGGGCAGGCTGGAGGCCCTGTGTGTCCCCTCGCTGCACCGCCCCCACTGGGGAAGACCCCGGCCCAGGGCGGGGAGGGGTGGGGGGAGGATCTGCCCTGAGGCCACGCTGTGGCCCGAGTCCCTAGGGAAGGCAGGGGCTGGGAGCTGTGGGCGCAGGAGGAAGGGACACAGGGAGGAGGGAGGGGCCGCTGGGCCGCCCGGGGGTGCACAATGGCGGCAGAATCTCCCCACAGCATCTGTCCTGAAGGTCCGACAGGTCTCAGACCTTGGGAAGAAGACACAGGGCCCCCCCCTTCCAAGTGACAGGCCTGGACACCTCCCCTAGAAGGACCCTCTGCTGCCTGAGCCAGTGACATCACGGTCCCTCAGACCGCCCCAGGTGTGTGGCTTGCCCTGGGCCACATGGAGCAGCACCCATGTCCAAGGCCAGGGTCCAGAAGAGACCACTGGGCAGGTGCCATGCTGGCTCCGAGTGACCAGCTGCACGGGGGAGGGTTTCCTGGTGCAAACTGTTAAAGGCCCGGAGCCGGTCTCCTCCTGGCCACCCTCCCCTTCCCATGTGGCTTGGAGCCCCCAAGGGTGAGAAGCAGGAGGGACCAGCCCTGGGCCTCGCAGGGCCCTGCACCTCCCTCCCCCGAGCCTGGGGGGACAGGCCCTGTAGCGCACCCTGGCACTGGAGCACCCTAAGACAGCGCTGCTTCCGCTTCCCTGGTGGCCAGGCTGGCCCGGGCTGAACACCGGGTCCTCAGGGGCCTCGAGGCCTGGCCGCCTCTCACAGCATCGAGGCCAAAGGCAAAATCCTTGTCGAAAATTCTCACTTTTGAGAACTGAAGGCTTTTATGCTTTATTTCTTTTGCACGGGAGGGGTACGGGGGTGCTGTGCACTTCCCGTCCTCCCCTGCCTGGGAGGGCAGTTCTGCCGGGAGTGTTTCCAGCCCCCCCCCCCACCGAGCACTGCCTCCTCTGGGGGCTTCAGGGTTCCTCAGGGCCCCACAAGGCGGCAGCCCCGCCCTGAGAGTGCCTTCCCCACACCCCCAGCATCTCTGTCATCTCTTTTCAAGTGGTAGGGGCTGTGGGGGGGAGCCTGGTCCCGCTGCCTGCCCGCAAGAGTCCAAGGGGCGCTCACAGCACCCGCCCCGCCCCCGAGGACGCCAGCAGGCCCCAGAGGAGGGTTCCGGAGCAGCTGTGCCCCAACCCTGCAGACCGTCCACAGCCGCCCTGGGCGGGGCGGGCAGAGGAGGGCCTGGGTCCGTTGCTGATTCTCCCCAGAAAGGCCCGCGAGGCCCTCAGGCAGTCTGGGCTCAGACCGCTGGCTCTCTGCACGCAGGGGTCCCAGAGGGGAAGGGCGGGGGTCCCACACCTCTCAGAGGCAGAGAGTCCAGAACACCCTCCGGGAGCTCTCAGAGAGCTCGGTAGCCTGGCGCTGCCGAGCCGCCCTCCACTGGGCCCGGTCTGGAAGCCGCTGTGGACGAGCTGAGTGCTCAGCCGCCCCGGCTCCGGGCCAGCGCGCCGGGTCCACTGCGGCCAGGTCAGTCCCCAGGCATCTGGGGGAGCTCACGAGTGAGGAGGGCAGGGGCCCCCAGAGCAAAGATTTCCTGCTCTGGCCCGGGAGACCCCCTGTCCACTCCAGAAGCTTCTCAGCAAAGCTGAAGCCCCACAGGGAGGACGGCTCCCTGGGGCCCAGGCCAAGAAAACCCACAGGGATCCCGGACACCCAGGGGAGAACCGGGGAAGGCCTGGCACCACAAGGTGCCAGCTCCAGGGATTCCAGACTCGGGGAACCTGCCCACAGCCAGGGGTACGGGTGGGCGTGGATGCGCAAGGCATGCATGGGTGTGGGTGTGTGTCGGGGTGTGGGTGAGGGTGGGGCGGGTGTGGGGTGCAGGCAGGGTGTGTACTCCCTGCCGGTCATAAGAAAAAGTGACAGACCTACGCCTCGGGGAAGCCACTGCCCCGAGTGGCCAGGAGCTGGACACCAGTGCCCAGAAGGCTGCAGAGCTTGGGGCCCTGAGCCCTGGAGCACCCACTAAGTCTGGGTGCCCAGAGCTTGGGGGGGTGAGGCCCCAGCAGCCCCAGGGGCCCTGGAGTCAGACTGAGGAGATCCTTTCAAACGACCCAGCACCGAGTATCCAGACCCTCGGGGCCCCAGAGCAGGGGCTCCGAGACGAGGCTGCTGGGAGGTGCTCCAGTGACAGGCTGGGGGCCCCCCTTCCCAAAGCCGGGTCCCTCCAAAGTCCCAAGGGGCACCTGCCTCTTGGCACGCTGCCCACCCATCACCACCCCCCTCCGTGTCCTGTGAAGGCCACAGCAGCACAGATGGGGGACCAGGAAGACAGGAGGGCATGTCCCAGCCACAGGAGGGAGGGGAGGGAGGGGGTGGCGGGTGTCTACCAAGCCCAGGGAGGACCTGACCCAGAGCACGGGGGTGGGAAGGACATCCAGGGAGACCTGGGGCCCCTAAGGCCAAAGAACCGTGACCACGGGCTCCCAGAAGCCTTCCTCCCGCCCGCCCAGCAGGCAGCGGCTGGGGGCTGCCTGCCCCCACCCCGACACAGTGTCTGCAACCCAAACGACATTCCTGCATCTGTTTCCACTTTCTGAACCAGAGAAATTTTATGGGGCAGCGGCCTCGCCCCCCAGCAGCAGCCTGGACATGTGAGCGTGTGGGGTGAGGGGAGGGGGGCCCCCAGGGGCTGGCAGGTCGCCTGCCACATAGCAGCCAGGCATGCAGAGAGCAGGCCCTCCGGGCCCCACCAGGCACTCTGGGTCTCCAGAGTGGAAAGAAAGGGCACCTCGCCCCCAGCCCCCCCAGGAATGACCCGCCTGGGGCCTCGGAGGCAAGAAGGGGCCAGGCCCATGACGCTGGCACCTGTGCCCAGAGCCTGCCGCAGAGGTTCGGGGGGCCTGACTGCTCCACACCAGGCTCCTGGCCTCCAGCCCCTCCAGCCTCCCCATCAGCGGCTGCCCAGGGCTCTCTCCCCTTCTCACCCTTCTCTCCCTCAGGACCCGCCCCACCCCCCTCATCGGGCCATTGCCCAAGGCAAGGAAACCCTAGAGAAGAATGGAGGGTCAGGATCCTATTGCCCCTCTGGCCACAGCCCGACCCCCAGGCTCGTTGGGGCTGGAAGCCCAGCTCTGCAGACCAAGAGTGGCCTCACACTGCCCTGCCCCTGGCCAGCCTCTCCGAGTTTGGAGGCTCTGGATAGAACACCAGCCCGAGGCTCCTCCCCAAGTCTCGGGAGCCCCGCCCCACCAGGGGAGAGGACCTGGGCCTCCCAGCCAGATGCAGGTGTGGCTGCAGATGGTCCCAGGCCAGGGTTCACAGTCTTGAGATGCAGGAGGGGGGCCCTCGGGACCTGTTCTCTCTTCACCTGCCAGAGCTTCAGCTCTCTCAGGTGAGTGCGGCTGGAAGGCCCACGACAGGCCAGGTTGGGGGCCTCCTGCAGGCAGCTGGACACGCCAGGGGGTGAGGGACAGCTGAGCCAGGTGCCCGGGCAGGCAGATGGCCCGGGCCCAGGAGGTGCGCTTACCCAGGCAGGTCCTGCCATCTGCGTGGAGCCGGAAGCCGGGCCTGCACTCACAGACGTAGGAACCAGGTGTGTTCACGCACCTGTGGTGGCAGCCGCCATTGTGCATCTGGCACTCGTCCACATCTGGGTGGGGACACAGGGTCAAGGGTTCACAGCCCACCCCCGCCCTGCTCTGTGCTTCCCCAGGCTGCCAGCCCAGGCCCCTCCCAGAGGACAGCGCCCAGGCCTAGGTGCTGGGACCCAAACCCCAGAAACTCTGCTGGGGACCTCCAGGACCCTCTGCTCCATGCACAAGCCGTGCCAACCCCGGGGAGACCCCCAGGTCCTTCCTGAGCCCGGAGGCTGCCTCAGAGAAGAGGGGCGGTTGAGGGCAGCCCAGGGGACCCAGCTGGGTTCGTGGGATCCAGGCCCCTCTACAGAAAAGACTTTTGCTCTAAAAGTGAGGCAGGATCAAGTCACTTGAAGCCCATCCACCCCCCCCAAGAATGGGGGCCACGACCCGTGACCGGCCGTGGCTGTGGCCTGAGTGGCCACGAGCTCCGTGGTCTTTAAGGAGAGTGAGCTCAGCTACATCACGCCCCAAAGAGGCCTACGTCCTGATCCCAAGTGGCAACGGGGGCCCCCGCAGCTGGGCGGGAGCTAGCTAAGGCCGCGAGGTCGGGGTTATCCTGCGACAGGTCCAGGCAGGCCAGTGTCGCTGAGTGGTCCTCTCCCGGGGATGGCAGGGGTGTCCGAGAAAGGATGGGAAGAGGCTCCTGCTGCCTTTGCAGATGGAGGGAGGGCCACCAGCCACAGGCTGTGGGCACCCATGGGGGCTGGGGAAGGCCAAGGATCCCCCGGGGGCCTCCAGGAGGGGCCCGCCTGTCCGCCCCCTTGGTCTGGCCCACTGTGGACTCCTGACCTCGGGGCACCAAGGGGCCTGATCGGGGCTGTGGCAGCCCTGTGTCACAGCGGCCGTGGGAACTGGACACAGAGCATGCCACTACGACGACCTCTGGGGTCCTGTATGTCCCAAGTCAGGGGCCAGACCAGGGAACTGAGCATCAGACCACAGGGGCATCTGCTGTCCCTCGGGGGAGAGGGCTGCCCCCCGGGGCTCTGGGAGCTGTGGTGCCCTGGGTCCTGCCCCACAGGCTCACCCTCACTGTACAAGGTGAGCCCCGAGACACCCCAAATGGCGGAGCCCCCGCCTGGCACTGGCACCTTAGACTCTGAAACTGCAGCAGAACACCGAGTTCTCCCGGCAATGCTGAGTGGGGCCCGGTTCCCGCCGCAGCCATAGGTCCCCTCCTCTCCCGCGCTTTCCTGAGACTCAGGGAAGGAAACCCACCCTGTCCAGGGCAAGCCCACTCTGTCCTGCATCCCCAGATGCAGCTGCCATGCCCCGAGTGGGGCGCTTTTAAGGAAGAGCTGGGTCAAGGCTCAGTAGGAAAATGCCTGTGGTCTTTCGCTGCCCTCAGCTGAGATACGTGACCGGGGCTTCGGCAGCCCCCAAACCCGCCACACGCACTGGAACAGGGCGGCCTCTCCGTGCCCACGCTGGGCCGCGTCCCCAGGGAGCCAGCGGCCCTGCGCGTCTGCTGAGCTGGCGCGCGGTGGTGCCTCGGAGAGCCCCTCCCGAGGCTGTTTGCGGCCCGCGGGGCCCCTACCGACCATCACCCCATCACATGAGCTCCTGGGCCAGGCCCACGCGGCCAGGGTTGAACCAGCTGCCCCAACAGAAACCACCCACAAGCAGCCCACTCTGAAGCCTCCGCCTGCAGGAAGGCTGAGCCCTGGGGGTCCTCCAGTCCCACTTTCCCCCCAAGCCTGGCACAGGCTCTCAGCCCCAAAGTGCACACCCCAGCATTCAAGGGCCAGTCCCCTCTCCCCTCTGCAAGCCCAAGCAGACCTCTGAGCAGGGCCACCTGGCTCCCCAAAGCCCTGCCCCACCCCACCCCAGAGTCTGGATGCTACGCAATCTTGTGACATTCAGTGCCACCCATGACAGAGCAACAGCACTGGCCTGGCCTTAGGGACCTCATGGGGACCGAGCCTGGGCCCCAGCTGGCCAAGCGACAAAGCCAGGAGAGGCAGAAGCGTTTGCCAGACTCCAGGGCCTGCAGCTCAGAGGTCTACGTGCCCCCGGCAGGGCGAGCGGCAGGGACTGGCCCTGGGGACAGCTGAGCAAAGGCAGCGTCTCCGCCAAGCCCAGAGGCCGCCGCACACAGACACACAGGGGACCTGGAAGGGCCTGCTGCCGGGAGGGACCCAGATGGTGACTCACTGGCAGCCCGGCCCCACACCCCCATCCGCATTCCCGGCTCCAAGTCCCCAGGAGCTCCCTGCACGGGCAGCAGACTTGAACTCCCAGGAGAGGCCAGGGTGTATCCACTTTCCGGGGGCTGGTGGGGTCCTCCCGGCAGACCCTGGTGCCCAAGGATGGGGGTGAGGGAAGGAAGAAAGGGCAGCACCTGCCACTCACACACGACCCCCAAGGGGCCCAGAATCTGAGGACCCCGGAAGGGGAGATCCACCCCAGGGGGCGGGCCACGGGCCTCTCTCTGACTTGACCCCCAGAGCTGCCAGTGTCGGGCCCGCTGGCAAGGCCAGGGAAGGTTTCTCTTCCCTCTGGTCAAGTGACCACCCTGCCACCAGCAGCCCCCACAGCCAGCCCAGGAGGGGACGGGCAGGTCTGAGGACTGAGGCACTCCTGGGCTCTGTCCCGCCCTCCCTCCACCCCCAGGCTGTCAGCACCCAGCGCAAACTTTAAAGAGGAAACAAAGGCCACCCACGGGGGCAGGGCACCCAGTCTCGCCGCCCGCGCAGAGCCCGCCGGCGCCCACCTGCTCTCCCGTCACCGGTGCTCAGGGGGTAGCCGACCTGGCCCAGGTGGCAGGGGTAGCAGCCCCTCCAGAGGTAGCGGTAGTGCGTGCCCGCGACGCGCGCCAGGCCCCCCAGAAGCCCGAAGCACCAGAGCGCGGCCAGACGGCTGCGGCTCCAGGACGCCTCCATGGCGGACGGGCCGCGCTGCGCCCAGCCGGCGCCGGGCGGCGGGCTCCCACCCCGGGACCGACTCAGCGGGCACGCACGGGCGGCCGCCGCAGGGCTGTGCTGGGCTGTGCTCAGAGCCGCCGCCGGGAGCTGTTCCCGCCCAGCCGTCCTGCCCTCGCCTTTAAGTTCTCAGCTTTCCCTCCGCCCCCCGCAGGTAAAGGCCAAATCCCCGGACCGGAGGGCCCGCCCCTGGCCCGCCCCCGACCCGTCCCCGCCCCCCTAGGCCGCACAGGGTCCCCAGTGCACGCAGCCGCCGGCGCATTCCTCCGCGGAGTTCCGCGACCTTAGACCCAGGCACAAGCGCAGGCACCCCGACACCAACGCTCGGACCCACGTGCACAAACACAGACCCACGTGTGCAAACATGCACAAAAGACACACACAGCCCAACCGTGCAGACAGGCGCACACACACCCATAAGCACGAACGTGTGCTCCTAGTGCCAGCAAGGAATAGAAACTAAAGCGGAGAAGCCTGAGGCGCCGCGGGGACAGTGGGTGGTCTTCCTTGCCACGCTCCGGAGGGTGGGGCAGCAGGCCCTTGGGGCCCACCCACCCACCCAGTGGGGACCTGGAGGTGAAGATCCCTGCTGGGGCCAGGCCTGTGTCCCAACACCCAGCACAGGGCAGGGCTGGGGAGAGCAGGCAGTAGGGGTGTGGCCAGGTGGGTCCCGGCCCCCTGAAAGGCTAGACAGCACAAACAAGTGCCAGGTGCACACTGGGCCAGTTTCCTCATCTGTGCCGTGGGCAGGGGACCAGATTTGACCGGCCAGGGGGCCCCTGCCCCCAGGTGGATGCCGTGGAACACACGTGACTTGGAAAAAGAGAAACAGGGCCAGGTAAACACAGGGATCTGGGGGTCAGGGCCAGCTCCCGAAGCACAGTGAGGAGCCCCAAATGCTTCTGAAGAGTGTGGGCAGGGGGGTGCCGTCCCTTCTGCCCTGGAAGTCCCTGTGGCGTCCCACCCGTGGCGTCCCACCCGTGGCCTGCTCAGCACAGCGTCTCCGTCGCCCAGGGCTGCCCATCGCCCGCTCACCTGGCCCCTCTGGCCTCCTGCCTCCTTTCCTGCCGGGCACCCCACCTCTCCTCTCTGCCCCTCATAAACAGGCCCATGCTTAACCGTCATTCTGTCCCGAAGGGGACCCAGAAGCAGGGTGCACAGGACCTGGGGATGCAGCGAGGGGGGACCGGGCCTGACTGTGACCCAAATCCTCCCTCACTGGGCCACCTCCTTCAGGCTCCTCAAGACAAAGGTCCCTGTGGGTCCCTGTGCCTCCCTGTGGGAGGGCACCCAGCGTGTTCTGAGTGGGTGGGGGGCAGAGAACCTGCGGGAGCAAACACGGTTTCAGCCCTGGCTGCAGGCACCCCTGGACTGTCAGCCGGGATCGGGTCCTGGGGCCCCTCCAGGCTGAACTGCCAAGGGCCTCGGCGTCTGAGTGGGGCTCTGGGCAAAGCTTTCTAGGAGCTTCTGGCTTCGGACCTCGGCCCTTCACTCGCTCGTGCATGTGTGCCTCTCACTCAGCTGTGGTCTGAGTGCCCTCTCCAGGCTGGACACGGCTCTGGGTACAGCGATGCCTCCCCACCCACCTGAGGATTACGCTCAGGACTCAGGGTGCAGATGGCTCTGAACCTCCATCCCCAACAGGGCTGGCTGTTTGGGCTTGGGCGTGGCCCGGGGGGCAGCTGCCCACCAAGTACAGACTGCTCTGGCGGCCAGACAGTGCCCGCGGCCACCCACGGCCTCCCTCGGGGCTGCCAAGTGCATCCAGGCCGGGGCTGTGGGGTCTGGAAGCTGCTGGGGAAATGCCTTCCCGATGCGGAGACACGCGGAATGTCTGTGTCAGCAGAAGGGGCCGTTCCCGCCCCTGCCAGGCCGGCCCCCGCCCTCTTGTTCTAGCCGGGGGGCCAGAGGGCTCCCCTGCCAGGACCCAGGCTGGGCACGGGCCCAGGTCGCCCCCCTCAAGATGCCACGCCCCCCACTTGGAGCTGGGCCCACCCGGACACAGGCCCTGACAGCAGCGCCTGAGGGAAGAACCTCCGTGTCCTGGGGCTGACAGGGCCAGGTTGGGACCCGGCAGCCCCCGCACCCCC